ATGAAATCCATTTCCTAGTGTCATGCCCCCTTTATACAGACCTTCGATATGATCTTTATTCAATATACAAAAAAACAACATAGTCATTTTGAACGTCTTACCAGAATGGATAAATTTAAAACCCTAATGACTGGTAAGAATAAAGAACATATTATTGCTCTTGCCAAGTATTTATGGTTAGCCTTCCAAAAAAAAGGGACGGTGCTGCACCCATAACCAGTTGAGTAGGTAGAGCTATTTGGGCTCTGCCAAATATGTTTTGTATTTTTTTTCATACAAGGAGTCATACAATATCACTATTGATCAATATCACTATTCATATTTATATATATTTGCAGTCCTTTGTACATTTTCATCTATCCATGTAGATGCATACGTTACAATGAATAAAGCATATAAGAATTTAAGGTGCCCTGAGGATGAAAACCGTTTGAGAAATTACTTTCATCGTGACTGTGCAACAAACCCTTATGTTGGCATTTGTATTGTGTCTGTGAAAGCATTTGAAAGTGGGAGAGATTAAGATGCGATTTTTGATTAATCTGGTATTTCGAAAAGCATATCAACAGTATTTGTAAGTCAGCATCTTTTTTTTACTAAGGAGGATAGGCAAGATTCGTAAGTTACTTGAAGTAGCAACAACCACAAAATTAGGAGATGCTTTTGTTACCATTAATCCTGACTATTTATAAACTATTCTCTTTGGATTGAGTACGAGTAAATTTTTAAAAATTCACACTTATTCAAAATGCAGCAGCTACATTAGTTAAAAAGACTTTTGATAAATCCAAAGCTTAGAACATAAAGTATAACTCCATTCTTAAAAAAGATACAGTACATGATTGTTTTTCCGATCCGACAAAAATCGTTTAAACTTATTAATCAGTTTGAACGACATAGGCAAACTACAAGTCCTTTGTGTAACAATTCTACACTTGGCCACTGTGAATTAGGGGGACAGTGTAACAAATATTATACTGACAGGGCTTAATTGTTTCTGCCCCAAAATTGTGAAACGAATTTCTTTTAATATAAGATTTGAAAGTAACTATGCCAATTTTGAAGTTGATCTTAAAACTCATATATAAAAGTCTTCTGTTAAATATTTTTTCACATTTTAAAGTAAGTCTTTTTGGATATTTTCAGCAAATCATTCTAATAATTCAAATAGCTTTACAATAACTTAACATAAGAAAAGATGGCGAAAAACTACTTTAAGATACGTTTTGTGCACAGTGAAGTTATCGGTTTTTCAGTTTCCAGTCAGAGTGTAAAACGATGTGAATTTCAGCATATGTATTTATATTCACATCTTTGTTAGAAACCATACTAAAAATCCGCCAACGCATCGCAAGATACTTTCGCAAATAATTTTTCTAAATAACCATATAAACATCAAGTTTTACCATGGTATAATCAGTTATCTGTTACGTCATTTACCGTATAATCCTTTACACCCACCTTCAATCCTGCAGAAACAGAGGCAGCTGAAGATCCATACAAGTACAGACCACATCTTGAAAACCGAAGTTTTGTTGGCAAACTGTCGCCCACATTTAACCATCAATACTTTTTATGGCCTTTCTCCCGTTGAATGTCGCCAACTTATTGTTAAAAATTAAGATTCTAGGACACATAGTGGTTGACAATGCAAATCAATTCACAAACAATTAAAATGGCGTAAGTTACACAGTGCAAACGGATATCACTTTGGGGGCCATATATTTAAATTATAAGGGTCAACAGGTCTCGTTATCCGCAAACTTGTACAGCCTATACCCTGTCATTTTCTATCCAAAAGAATCGAACTGGGGAAGTGTTGATGTCAAATATTCATCCACCTAGACTGGATTCTTTTTTATTGACATACATAATCAGTGACAGTTTCAGGGAATCCTATCCTGTAATCGTTACACGCACTTATCGTTAATGGACGAACATAAATTGTAATCAATTTTCACTTTCGGGTCTTTTTACATCGAGCGTATTATCTTTACAATACCGGTATGATTTGAGTGGTTCTACCATGCAATTACCCCGTTACGCTACAGTGACGCTTTATTCTCAATTACACAAGTTCGACACAAGTTCACCCCCTGCTGGTTAGACAAAGGTATCCGCGGTCCGAGATTTTCTTGCCAAGCAAAATTCTGAAGGACTATTATAAAATTTAAAAAATGCAAAGATGAAAAGAAATAAGAGGTAAATTTCTCCTTCTCTCGAACCATTGTTCGACCGTCCATGCAGTTGTACTTGATCTTTTTTACCATTTCCATTCACTTCTACGCGTCTAGCCAAGCATTCAGACCGCCATGTCTTCCAGTACCTATGGTGAATTTAGGGGAGGTATCAGGAGAGGGTCCTGCCCCCCCCCTTCAATTTCTAAAAAAAATCCACCAATAGTCCCCTCTTAAAATTAGAATTTTGACTTGTTCCAAACCGTACCAAATGGCACCGTTTGCCCTCTAAATCACCTAAATTTTCTAGGCCCTTCAGCGGGGGGGGGGGGGGGGGGGTTAGGGTCGACTACTGAGTACTGATATATTTCACAAGTTTCAGAAGGAAATGTCGACATTGAGTACTTTTATGTTAGGGGTTTTCTCCTTTTTAAGGTTTGAATTGAAAAAGAGAAGAAAGAAGCTGTGTAGGATGTGTAAACTTCGCAAATATCACCTCCAGATATTTTCAAACGCGAGTACACACAGCTGACAATATAAGTGTCACCCCCTGAATCAGTTTCAAAGTAGGTAGATCTTGAGTAGTTATAATGCCTGGTCTACTTATAATGTGAATAATGAGTATAAAACAGCTGTACCATGGAATTGTATTGTTGGTCTTTTTGTGAAATTTGATGTTAATAAAATGATACCAGGAGCATATCATTCCACAGTCATTTATCTCCCCCAACGTATTGGTTCAGTAGGGGTGACACTTCTATTGTCCAGTGTGTGTAGTATATACCTTTAAGTCCCCGTTTAAGTGTCCCCGTTTTCACCTCTGTCTACACATCAAAGTAATTAAATTGCTGAGCACCAGGCATATTCCCAAGAGGTTCTGTGGGTCCACTTTTCCATGTCAAGGGTTAGAATTCAATTCAATTAGTCTTTTATTCAATTTTTTAACATACTATACCGGTATATTGCCCTTTGTTTAGAGGATACTGTTAACACGTAACACCGCTGGAAACTAATCTGGGAAGTGGACGTTTGGATTGCCTTCATTCCGTTAATATGATTTACACCACAATCCCGACAACCCATTGTGTAAGATTCTGTTTCATTAGCACAGGTGGGAAGAGTGACAAAACAGATCAATTTACAAACAATTAAGATGAAGAGAATGACTCAGTAAGATCGATATGTTATTTTGAAATGCAACATTGTTCAAAATATATTTCTAAATCTACCTCTGTTTGATGCGCTTCACAAATATTGCTTTGGTAATTTATAAGATTGATCATTGCACTATCCACTTGATTGCACTATCCACTTTTAGTATGATTATTTAGACAGCAAAATATTTGTCTCTCTTAAATAAAGGGTCTTTTCGGAGAACGGAGAAATCACTGACGAATTTCAAATCACGGTTCAAGCAAAGAACAATACATCACATATTTCGTTGAAGGAACAAAACTGGGCTCCAACATTTGTTAAATCTTAAAACAAAGTCGATAACATACGCGCCTTTTTCAAGATAAAAGAAGAATCTTTATTAAGAAAGAAAACTCAAGCTTGATTAAGCTTAGTTGCGTTTTTCGATGGTGGGATTTTCTGGACGTGCTGAAAGCCAATTCGTAGAGATGCGGACAGCTTGTGTCACCCCAGGACATATATATATATATATACAGACTTGACATTTAATATGGAATATTTCAGTTTTAAAGGTATACCTAGGTCAAAATGCGTTCTTTTTTTTTTTTTAAATAAGATTTCATATAAGACATCTGTCTGGAGAAGTGTGAAGTCAGGTGTGTCGCTGCCAATTAACTGACTACCAAGTCTGTTGCACTGCTGCCTTGTGTAATATGCAGTGATTTAATTGGGCAG